GCATGTTGAGTTGTATATGTTTATGCATGTGTGTGTAATTGAGTTTTGGTGTGTTTGTGAGCCTATATGTATATAACCAATGATCTTTAGGGTCCTTCTTAGCCCTAACATTCTAGAAGTCTGCCCTTGGTCCCTGCTCAACTTGGCCTCAAGGGGCTGCTGGCCAATGGCAGTGGGGAGGGGCTAGAATCAAGGTCAGGTTAGAGGCCCACCTCCTGGGAAATGGGGGTTCTACAGGAAGAGTGTCTCCTAAGGTACCCATCCTGTCAGCAAAATGGCCTCACGCTCAGGATTGTGGGTCCAGCAGGTGCCATCCTCTGGCACAAACTGAAAGCTTCCTGGAAGCCTTCACAGAGCACAGAGTCCAAGGAAGCTCCACCCACTCTCCTCTTTGGGTTACTTTAAGGAAGATGAACGAACGTCCTGCTGAGACACAGAACAGTCAGTGGCTCTCCAGTCCCGGTGCAACATCACCTGGAGGACTCTTTTTACATGGAGAGCTTGGCCCCCCAGTTTCTGATGCAGTAGCTCAAAGAGCATCTCTGACAATTTCTTGGTGATGCTCACATGCTGGACTGGGATGTGCCTTGAGAATCACGGCCTCATTAGAAGTGTCACTGGATGAGGCCTCCTCAACCTCCTCACTTTCTCATGCCTCCCTGGCATCCTGGTCTTCAAGAGTGTGCCCTGGAGTCAGACTTCACAACTCACTCTTTGGTCTGTCTTCCAGACAGCCTCGGGAGATCATTTATTCAGCATAACAAAGGAGCAGGTTGTTTCCAAGACACAGGGCACCATGGTTTAGGCTCAAGATTCTTGTGGGTACATAGACCCCCAAAGAAATGGTGACAACCTAAGTGCGCTCTGGAGACCAGGTGAAGAGTGTGGGAGCAGAGAAGAATGTTTACTTCAGCCCTGGGCAATCCCAAAAGGCTGCCTGGAGGCGGTGCTAGCTGAGGAAGTTTTTAGAGAATGGGCAGAGCCCATCTTACAGCTGTTGTGTTAAGACTCTGAAAGCACAAACTCCTTCCACCCTCACAACCACCCTGAGAGGGGAACTACTGTGGCTGAAGGGAGATTTAAACCAGCCTCACTTCCAGCCTCAGGGGCATGTGGAGGGTGGGGAAGGCATTCTGAGAGAATACCAAGCATGGAGGGAGGGAGAGAGGGTGGGAGAGAGGGAGGGAGGTGACTGGGCAGTGGTGGGGTGAGATTATTTTGAGACTTTGCCCTGAGGGAGCTGGGGACCCTAGGTGGAAATGCACCTCCCCGTCCACCCCTCCCCCCACTTTCCCCTGGGCAGCAGAGGTGGGAGGAGCATGAGCTCAGGCCCCATCTGTTTAACTAGGGCAGGAGCCAGGCCTGAGGCTGGTTTTGGGTGGGAGAGAGCTGAAGGGAGGCGGATGGAGGGGGCTTTCCAAGCACAGCTGCTCCAGAGGTCGGTGGAAGCCCGGTGGTAGAGGCTGCAGGTCTGGTTCAAATGGCCACATGGTGTCGGGGGCTGAGAGGGTCTGGAACTTGAGGGCCCCTCTCAAGCTGAAAAGCTGGGAGTGTGGCTGAGAATTGGTGCTGGCATCCTGAGGGTCCCTTTCAGAAATCTGCTTCTAAGAGTTGGCCCTGAAGGCAGGCTGGGCAGAGAGGCAGAGGGACAGCTCTGGCATAAGGTCCAGACCGATGGTCCCCCAGACAGTCTCTGTGCAAAGCTCCAGGCCACTGGCCTCTCAACTAGAGCACAAGCTGGAAGCAGAGGAGAAACATTTGCCCCAGCCCTGGGCAATCCTGAAAGGCTGCAGGGAGGAGGCATTAGACTCATGCCCGGCCCTGGTGTGTGTCAGGGAAGGGGAGGTATCAGGAAAACCACTCTGGTCCATGCCGGGTGAGAAGTTAAGTGATGAATCCAGAGGGATGGAGCCAGAGGAAATGAGCTAGTTGTAGCACGAGGTATTCTAATTAGACACCGGCTGGGCACTAGGGGAGAAGTAGTTATTGGTTGTGATAACTTGCGTAATATCTTGTGTAAGAGAATCACCCTTACATCTCTGCCTCTCTGGGAAACGCAAGGAGGGGCCTTCAGCCCTTCTATAACTACTTTGGCCATCAATTCTCATGTCGGTTTTAGTTCCTCCACTACTTTCCTGCTGGCACATCGGTTCTACCTTCCTTACCTGGGTGGGCTGAAGAACCACACCCTGGCTCCTCAGCTAGTCCCAGTTTTGGGGGCCACTGAGCTGGGCAAACCTTGCCAGGTAGAGAGATCAGTTAAACCAATGCCTGAGTCCAGGGCAGAGGAAGGGCCACCAACATGAGAAGATCCAAGGTTATAGGGCTCGGAGCTCCAGGGGGGCTTCTGAGAGGTGGTAAGTGGGATTTCTAGGCTGACAGAAAGCAGGGGGGACGGAGGCAGTTTAGACAGAGTAGTCAGATGAGTGAAAAGGCACAAGTGGGCAAGAGCAGTTGGGTGAGCGAAGGAGCAGATAAAACAAGCACGAAACCTGCCTCAATGGTTTGCACTTAATATGTAGGCAATAGGGAGCTATTGAAGGTTCCAGAGGAAGAACATGACATGTTCTGGGCATGTCTAGATTTCCCTCCCAGTCTAGGATTTCATGAAAGACATCTAGCTCTGATTCTGAGCTCATAGGCTTCTCAGGGGTTCCCCAGAGACACACACAAGTGGCATCTCACATGTCACCTAGCACAACGATCATGTTTAATAACACTCCCCTCTACTCCTGGTTCCCCCTCTGGCATTTTTCTCTGTCTAGCATACTTCATAGTTTTTACTGTTTATCATCTGCCCCACCCCCATTAGAGTGAAGCCAGGGTCAAGGTCTGTTTTACTTGCTGTTGAATATTCCAGTGCCACAGAGGGCCTGGGGCTCAACAAATCACTTACTTGTTGAATGAATTGAAAGACAAATACCACTGACGATCTGCATGAACCAGCATGGTCTGGCTGTTCCCTCCCTGCCTCTTCATTTCTGGCTGTCCGATCTTGGCAGCACCCGAGTGGAAAAATCTCAGAAAGCCAGAGAGAACTGTGCTATTCCCTGCTGTGCCACGCACCCTTGCCAGGAAACTGGGGAGAGTTGGCCTGTTCCTCTCCCCCGTCCTCCACCAAACTACCACCACTTTCCTGCATCTGGGAGTGGATGCCAGAGGAGGAAAATTTCAACTAAGGAAAGCCAGGGGCTTGCAGGGCTAGACTAGGCCGCTCCAGCCAGCAGCCTGCAAGAGCAACCGGCTGGATGACCAGAGTAATGGCACATGGCTGAGTGTCCAGCCCAGGCAGGTGCTGTGCAGCGGCTCTGGGCACTTTGCTCCATTTTGACCTCCTATCAACACGATGAAATGGACATTACCCTCCCACTTTACAGATGGGGAAGACAGAGGTCCAGAGAAGGTTGCTGACGTGGCCAAGGTGTCCCCACCAGGAGATGAGCCTGTTTTGAACACAGGTCACGTCCTACTCCAACCAGTGGTCACTCCTCCACAGTGCTGTCCCTGCTGCTGTAGAAGCAGCTGAGATGCAGGGTGTGGTGCTTGCTGAGTTCTCGGTCCAAGGTCTCAGGTCCCAGGTCCCAGGGGACGGTGCCGGCCTCAGGCTCCCACCTGAGTGCTGGGAATGGCAGTTTTTCCCATCCCTCAGTGGTGAACAAACACGATGACGTCACATCTGCCACCCGGTCTGAACTCATCCGAGAGCACGGTCACTGCCTGTTCTGGCTGTGGCCAGTGTCCTGTCCTCACTCTGAGGTGTGTCATGAGGGCTGGACAAAAGACCCAAGGGAAACCAAACCCACCCATGTGTCCAGATCCAGCCCCCACATCCACAGTTGTACACAATGGGACCCCTAGTTAAAGAACTTGAGTCAGATCTCTCAGGAAAAAGCGCTTCCGGGGCCCAGATACCTCCTGCTCAACTTTTGGCGCTTTTAAGTGCTGCACTCAGCTTCTTCAGAAGACATTCACCCACTTGGAGGAAGCAAGCCCTCTCTCAGCAAACATCACTGTTCCTTATATATGCAAGGTAAACAATACTGTTTCTGCCTTAAAGAGCAGATTAGAGCTTAGTCATTAAGTAGACAATAGGGAGCCACTGACTGTGTTAGAGCAGGGGAGGGCACTGTGTGTTTGGCGGTTAATCAGGGAGGAGCGTGGTAGTAGAAGCAACTTTGGTAGTGATCAGCGCTACCTTATATGAAGCAGTTACGAGTGCTAGATGCTATTTCCACTAGGTACAAAGGTCAACCCGAATCCTCACCACCGCTGGTATCCCCATGTTACGGATGAAAATGTGTTCATGTATTTAGAGATTACAGGGCCGGCAGATGGAGGAGCCCAGGATTGCACCCCTCTGGCTCCCCAGACGGATTACCACTATTTGATGCTACCTCTCACAGCAATGTAGACCGGAGGGGAAGGAGCTGGTCATGGCTGGGATGGGACAGTGGGCACAGTCGGAAAGACAGAGGGAATGCTGCTTGCTTTGAAAGGCTCTCACAGGCCAGAGCAGGAAACAGGGGAGAGGTGTCATTAAGTACTTTGATCTATGCAGAAGAGAGCATTATCTACACTCATTTTTATTGATAATAGCAATGATCACACTTTTTGGCCACTATCCCATACCGAATAACATCTTTCATGGAAAAGAAACTTTGGAGACACTCTCAAATAGAGAAATCTTATCACAGTGAGAGCCTCCCTCAACTCTCCAACCCTTTCTTGATTTTATTTATTAATCTACTTACTGCAATAGGGAAGCAAGCCTCACTTAGATGCTGACTGGGTCTGAACACATTCTAGTTTGGGATGTCTGGTCACCGTCACCACCAGTGTCCCTGTCCAAAGCAGTCACAGTACTAGGATTCACCAGGGTGGTGGAAGGCAGGGGAAGTCAGAGATAAAGGCTGGGTTGGGGAAGGACAGGGACAGGGAGCTGGATCAGGAAGGGCAAGGTGAGACCCAGGGGCCTCCATGCTATTTTGACAAGATTATACCTGATTCCTCTGAGATGTTCAGCTACAGCATTCGAAACCACACTATTGATACAAGGAACGCCCGAGAAGCATGTATAAAGAGAGTGAGGTTGTGTTATATCACAAAGTGCCCTTCCAGCTTCAACAATCTATAAAGATGCATCTGTCAACCCTTTCCCAGGAGGAGGTGTGAGAGGCAGGGACTCTCAGAAGGGCCTCTTCTGGGTCTGGCTGGGTTCTGGGCCCGTCCCAAAGCTGGATCCATTGGAGAACAGCAGTTCTGCCTGAGGTGTGTCTGTGGGGCAGGGGGCTCCTAACCAAAGCTAACGAGTCACCTTCCCAAGTCACCTGGACAGTGTCCTTTGGAAAAGGGACTGGGCCCTTACTGCCCTCTCCTGCCAGGCTGTGGGTTGGGGGCTCAGGAAAGCCTTCACCCAGTTACTAAAGGCTGTTTCCAGGCTTGAGGGAGGGGCTGGGGCTAAGGCATCGGCCTTGCTGGGTGTGTGACAGCAGAAACACCTACCTGGGGAGGTGTGGATTTCGGGCTGATGGGCTGTCACTCGCCTCCCCTCCTCTTGATCAGATCTCAGGAAAAGGTGCTTCTGAGTGGTCCAGGCAGATGCGTTCCTGCTCGATTTCTGGCCACAGAGGTAGGTCTTCCAAGGCTCTGTGGCATGGAGACAATGAAGCACTCTCAGTGCAGGCGGGCATGGATCCCAGTCCTCCCAGCCTCTGCATGGCTCCTCCCCTAGCTCAAGAAGACCAGCTCCTCCCAGGTTAGCATCTTCCAATGAAGCCTGCCTCTGCAGAGTTCTGGTGGGGTCAGGGTCAGGGTCACCCTAGATTCATCAGTGACCCCTAGTCTACCCCCCTCAACTCTAAATGCAGCTGCCTGAGATTGAGCCAGTGTCACCCTCCTCTCTGCTGAGCAGGGGACCGGGTGGCACACCGCATGGGGAGTAGAAGCACCTAGGTCTGCTCTACCACTTACCCCTGCTGAGCTGGAGCACCCCACTTCCCGTCTCCCTTGTGAGCTGGAGTTCTACACTTTCATTACTGGGCTGGGGGTTTCAGTCTAGGTACACAGACAGTGTAAGCTGGCAGCCGCCAGGTATCTTCACTGGGACTTTGGAAGCATCTTAGGGGTGAGGGTCTTGCACAAATGCACTAACACACTGAACCAGAATCTCCAGGAAGTGCCTGGAAATATGCATTTAAACAGGTTTCTTCTTCCCCAACCTGCACAGAAAACAAGACAGGCTGGACTTCATGCTGGGAAGTGGCCAAGTCCCAGGGTGAGGCTTTGATGATGTGATAAAGGGTCATCAGGCCCTCTCCTGAAGGCTGCATCGGAGGGGTCCAGTCTCTGCAGGTGGACTGTCTAGCCAGCAGGTGCTGGGGAACTCGCTGAAACATTTCTAGGCCTTGTTTTCCTCATGGACAAAATGAAGCTTGGAGATGATCACTTGGACCATTCCAGATTTAAAGTTGTGATGTGATTTTTTAAAAAAAAGGTGACAAAACCCACGGAGAAATGAATTTAAAAAGCAAGTTCACGGTGAAAGACTTTTAAAATAGTTTGCAATTTTGGCTTCTTTTGAAATTCTTAAAAATAATATGCTTAGGAGGAAGAAAAATCTAACTGTTCAAAATAATACATAAGGAAAAGTTTCCCTGCTATCCCAGATCTCTATGCCACTCCCAAACATTGTCAAGTTTTCTTTAAGAGTTTTCCCATAAATATTAACCAAAATACACTTAAGCCTGCATCTTTATTTTAAACTCACCAGCAATCGCCCTGGCACTCTGTCTTTGTTATTTAATACACATCACATATCTGAGCACACCAGCAGACAGACCCTTTATTCTCCTGGCATCTTGCCCTCTCCACCAAAGGGCACTCCTTTGTAAGTGCCCTGCTGATGAGTGTTAAGGTTGTTTCTACACTTTTGCTGGGCATAGTTGCAATTAACCCATCTGATTATATATCTTTGTGCACATGTGTGAGTGAGCTAAGAGTAACAAGTCAAATATTGCCAAATTGCTCATCCTCATCCTCCACAGAGGATGAGCCAGTTTGCCAGCCCAGTCACACACCACAGCACCTGTTAGCTTCACCCTCAACCACACAGCACACTATCAAATTCTTAACTTTGCCAATACGAGAATTGAAAAATAAGATCTTGATTCCACTTTGACTTTAATTATTAGAAAGGGCAGACATATTTTCACATATATTGACTGAATGACTTTTCTACCATGTGTATGTTCTTTTTATTTAGCGCTCTGACTTAAGGTTTTCTAGACTAACACAATTGACTTTATGCACATGTATTTGAATGATCATTTATTTCTCTTTTACTTGATTATGGCTTCTTTTACTTACAGAAATTTCAGATGTTTCTATAGGTAAAAGTATTTCCCATTTGCACTTGTTATTTAATACACATCACATATCTGAGCACACCAGCAGACAGATCCTTTATTCTCGTGGCATCTCGCCCTCTCCACCAAAGGGCACTCCTTTGTAAGTGCCCTGCTGATGAGTGTTAAGGTTGTCTAGAGTCACTAGTATGACTCTAGTATGTCTAGAGTTTTCTTTCTTTTTAATCTTTCATTTTTTCTAACATTTTCTTTCTGGCATAAGGAGTATAATAGGGCTCAGTTGTTGTTTTTTTTTTCCCCCAATGGAGGTTCATTATCCTAATATCACATTTAATTAATCCATTTCCTACCCTCCCTCTATATTAAAAACCTCAGTTTAAGTATGTACTAGGGTGCGTACAAAGAGCATAACCTTTCTGTCAAGTGCTGGTTCAAGCATTAACCTCACTGGATTGAAGATAAGTTATGCAACCTTCCTATGCTTCAGTCTGGTCTAAAAACAGGAATAACAGTAGCAACATCTGATAAGGTTATTGTGACGATTAAATGAGTTATTTCCAGTAAGTAGTGTCAAAAGAAGCAAACATGTTTTGTGTGCAAGGGTTATAAAAGATTGAGACCTCTGTCCATGATGATCCTTTTAATGTGACGACACACATAGGTTGCAAGTGAACGGATAGAAAAAGACAGTGCAGGCAAAAATGGTAACTGAAAGAGGAGGGGAGGACCTACTGATGTCAGACTACGTCGACCTCAGGTCACATATGATTTGGGGCCTGTGCCTGCAAGCTACTGGGAAAAACTTTACACTCCTGGACACTCCTTGCTTCTGAAAGCTGCCATGGAGAGAGATCCTGGGTGTCTGAGAAGAGCTGGCTAAATTAAGAAATGCTTCTTATTTTTTGCACTATCTACACTTCACTTTTTATCCACTTACAAGAAGGACACTAAGAATGAGACCTGACTGCTTAACTTGGACTCATCTAATCTCAGAACCGAGAAGTCAGTTCTATGAAAAAACTGAACAACTCAACTTCTGATCTGTGGAACTTCTTGATAAGTTCCAAAGCCAAGAGAACTATCCAACAACTGGAGCCACTTGTTTCTCCAAAATGACTCTCAGAGGAAGAGATCTAGGATCTCTGAACTCCAGTGTGGAGTATTGTCAGCTCTGCAGAGAGAAAAATAGCTTATGATGACTAAATATTCAGGCAAGAACAGCCTAAACCAGGAACTTTTTCAGTGTCAAGTGGAATTTCTCATAAAGTAAATTAGGTGTAAATATTAATTAAAGGATTATCTTGGTAATCCTATGCCTCTAACACAGCCCCTTGCTATATTCATAATCCATAGGGTGTAGTTATAAAAGATTGAGACCTCTGTCCATGATCCTTCGAAAATGAGTTATGAGTATTTTCAGACGAGAGAACTTGTGAGCAGATGATAGTAAATTGGCCCAGATCACCAGGCATTGACCACTCTGTGCACAGCTTCTTGACCATAAATAAAATCTGGGTTAAGAATCATAACTAATTTACTTTATGACAGACTTTAATGTCCCCTTGAAAGTGCATGACTACAGGACTTTCAGAGAAAAGGGCCAGCACCAGGAACAGCAACACCCCTGAAAACTCCCTGCTGCAAGAAACAAGACCGTATCACTTTACCTAACTATCCCAACCAGAGACAATTTCTTCAGATATGCCAGTTTCCCTATCACCTTTGCTTGCCACAAAATAGATCAATAGACTTTAAGTGTAAAATTGTCACAAGAGACAAATAATTTATAATGATTAAAAAAAAATCCAGTTTTCCAGAAAGATAGTACAATTACAAATATGCACCTAACAATAAAGCTCCTAAATATATGAAACAAACACTGACAGACTTAAAGGAGAAAAAAGTAGCACAATAATAATTTCAATAAACCACTTTCAATAACGGATACAGCAACCAGACAGAAGATCAATAAGGAAGGGAGGATTTGAATATATTCAACACATGAGGCAAATTGGACCCAACAGATTTACACAAAATGTATACAGAACACTCCACCCAATAGCAACAGAACACACATTCTGCTCAGGCACGTGTGGAATCTTCTCCAGGGTAGATCAATGTTAGGCTACAGGCGAGGGCACAGATCAGAGCCAGGCATGTGGGAACGACTAGATTAGGTTGGTGATTACTTTTTTTTTTTTTAAAGATTTATTTATTCATACAGAACTGGGGTACAGGCCAGAGATGCGGAGGGTGAGAGGATTCACCAGAGACAAAGTGGGGAGCAGAACAGGCAGATCGACGAAGTACACTGCTGAGGGGAGCAGCGGGCGGGTCAGGAGAGGTCTGCTGCACCATGTGGTCGCCTCCGGGGCAGGCGGGGATCGAACTCATGCAGAAGTGGCTTCAGCTTCTCTGTGCTGTGCTTTAACCAGCTGCGCCACCAGGGAGGGCCAGGTGATTACTTTTATTACCACTGCCAACAGATGTGCTTGGGCCTGGGTAGCCTATTCTGTTCCACCAATCTATGGCCCAGCTCTAGCAATTGACAGATGCTGGGGACCCCAAAGTGACAAGCAGTATAAAAATAGGGCACATTTACTACCTGGCTAGACTTTTCCAGTCATTTTTAGTCTTTTACTGATATTGTAAATGTTTCCTTGCATTATATTTTAAAAGAGGCTAATATTATAGAAAAGCTATATTTTTTGTTTTTAACTTTAATATTTTTAGTATTCAAACTAATATATTTATCATATTGGCATCCACCTTAGGATATTCTTTTCTTATTTCCAGTAGTCTTTCTTAGTAAACTTTCTTGTCTTCCAGGTGATCAATCTTATCATCTATAATTTTAAGTAATAAATTTGCCTTCCTTTATAATCTATATTTGTATTGGCTGGTATTTCTAGAGAAGTCACAGAATGAAGGTGTATACATAGGTGCTCATTTTTTCCTTGTATGTGTGCAAATCTTCATATATACACGTCACACAGATATAATATATTAAGCAATATGCATCTAGTCTCATTAAATCAGAGTTGAAATCAGAGATGGGTGTGGCTTTTTATTAAATGCCTTTTAGGTATTTTTAACATTTTTTGGAGCTGTTTATCTGATTTTCCTTCCTTTTGAACTACTAATTTGTTGAATTATGAAAATAATTTTCTAATATTGAATCTAGATTTCCAGAATGTGCTTCACTTGCTGGTGTTCTATTTATTGTTTAAACATAATGCTATCTGATTCTATTCATTTGCACAAATATCCACACATTAAATT